CACCTTCTGGCTATACAATGCTATCTGTAACATAGCACCTTCTGGCTATACAATGCTATCTGTAACATAGCACATCCTGGCTATAAATGCTATCTGTAACATAGCACCTCTGACTATAAAATACTATTTGTAACATAGCACCTTCTGGCTATAAAATGATATCTGTAACATAGCACCGTCTGACTATTCAATGCTATCTGTAACATAGCACCTTCTGACTATAAAATTATATCGGTAACATAGCACCGTCTGATTATAAAATGTTATCTGTAACATAGCACCTTCTGACTATAAAATGTTATTTGTAACATAGCTACGTCTGATTATAAAATGTTATCAGTAACATAGCACCTTCTGACTAAACAATGCTATCTGTAACATAGCACCTTCTGACTATAAAATGCTATCTGTAACATAGCACCTTCTGGCTATAAAATGTTATCTGTAACATAGCACCGTCTGGCTATACAATGCTATCTGTAACATAGCACCTTCTGGCTATAAAATATTATCTGTAACATAGCACCTTCTGACTAGAAAATGTTATCTGTAAGATAGCACCGTCTGACTATAAAATGCTATCTGTAACATAGCACCTTCTGACTATAAAATGTTATATGTAACATACCACCGCCGTTCTATACAATGCTTTCTGTAACATAGCACCGTATGACTATAAAATGCTATCTGTAACAAAGCACCTTCTGGCTATACAATGCTATCTGTAACATAGCACCTTCTGGCTATACAATGCTATCTGTAACATAGCACCTTCTGACTATACAATGCTATCTGTAACATAGCACCTTCTGGCTATAAAATGTTATCTGTAACATAGCACCTTCTGACTATAAAATGCTATCTGTAAGATAGCACCGTCTGACTATCAAATACTATCTGTAACATAGCACCTTCTGACTATAAAATGGTATCTGTAACATAGCACCTTCTGGCTATAAAATGCTATCTGTAACATAGCACCTTCTGGCTATAAAATGTTTTCTGTAACATAGCACCTTCTGACTATAAAATGTTATATGTAACATACCACCGCCGTTCTATACAATGCTTTCTGTAACATAGCACCTTCTGGCTATAAAATGGTTTCTGTAACATAGCACCTTCTGACTATAAAATGGTATCTGTAACATAGCCCCTTCTGGCTATAAAATGTTATCTGTAACATAGTAACATAGCACCTTCTGACTATAAAATGGTATCTGTAACATGGCACCTTCTGGCTATAAAATGTTATCTGTAACATAGTAACATAGCACCTTCTGACTATAAAATGGTATCTGTAACATAGCACCGTCTGGCTATAAAATGTTATCTGTAACATAGTAACATAGCACCTTCTGACTATAAAATGTTATCTGTAACATAGCTATGTCTGATTATAAAATGTTATCTGTAACATAGCACCGTCTGGCTATACAATGCTATCTGTAAGATAGCACCGTCTGACTATAAAATACTATCTGTAACATAGCACCTTCTGACTATAAAATGGTATCTGTGACATAGCACCTTCTGGCTATAAAATGTTATATGTAACATAGCACCGTCTGGCTATACAATGCTATCTGTAAGATAGCACCGTCTGACTATCAAATACTATCTGTAACATAGCGCCTTCTGACTATAAAATGGTATCTGTAACATAGCACCTTCTGGCTATAAAATGTTATATGTAACATAGCACCGTCTGGCTATACAATGCTATCTGTAAGATAGCTCCGTCTGACTATCAAATACTATCTGTAACATAGCACCTTCTGACTATAAAATGTTATCTGTAACATAGCTATGTCTGATTATAAAATGTTATCTGTAACATAGCACCTTCTGACTATACAATGCTATCTGTAACATAGAACCTTCTGGCTATAAAATGTTTTCTGTAACATAGCTCCTTCTGACTATAAAATGCTATCTGTAAGATAGCACCGTCTGACTACCAAATGCTATCTGTAACATAGCACCTTCTGACTATAAAATGTTATCTGTAACATAGCACCTTCTGGCTATAAAATGTTATCTGTAACATAGCACCTTCTGACTATAAAATGCTATCTGTAACATTGCACCTTTTGACTATAAAATGTTATCTGTAACATAACACTGTCTGGTTATACAATGCTATCTGTAACATAGTAGGGTATGACTATAAAATGCTATCTGTAACATAGCACCCTCTGGCTATAAATGTTATCTGTAATATAGCACCTTCTGACTATAAAATGCTATCTGTAACATAGCACCTTCTGGCTATACAATGCTATCTGTAAAATAGCACATCCTGGCTATAAATGCTATCTGTAACATAGCACCTCTGACTATAAAATACTATTTGTAACATAGCACCTTCTGGCTATAAAATGCTATCTGTAACATAGCACCTTCTGACTATAAAATTATATCAGTAACAGAGCACCGTCTGATTATAAAATGCTATCTGTAACATAGCACCTTCTGGCTATAAAATGATATCTGTAACATGGCACCGTCTGACTATTCAATGCTATCTGTAACATAGCACCTTCTGACTATAAAATTATATCAGTAACAGAGCACCGTCTGATTATAAAATGTTATCTGTAACATAGCACCGTCTAGCTATACAATGCTATCTGTCACAAAGCACCTTCTGACTGTAAATGTTATCTGTAATATAGCACCTTCTGACTTTAAAATGCTATCTGTAAGATAGCACCGTCTGAATATAAAATGCTATCTGTAACATAGCCCCTCTGACTATAAAATACTATTTGTAACATAGCACCTTCTGGCTATAAAATGTTATCTGTAACATAGCACCGTCTAGCTATAC